TGGTGTAAGATGGGTGGTGTAGGATGGGTGGTGTGAGATGAGTGGTGTGAGATGAGTGGTGTGAGATGAGTGGTGTAAGATGAGCGGTGTAAGTTGGGTAGTGTAAGATGGGTGGTGTAAGAGGACGACGGCGGCGGAGGCGGGTGGAGGTTGCGGAGCGGCGGGCACAGAGCGAAAAACTAAAACCCCACGTAGTGATGTGGGGAAAAACCGAACCAAACCCAAACAAGCCCTAAAGAAGTCAAGCCCTCAAGCAACCCCTAAAAAAGTCAAGCCCTGAGACAAGCCCAAACAAACCCAAAAGAAGTCAAACCCTGAAGCAAGCTGAACAAACCTGTAAGAAGTCAAGCCCTAAACCAAGCCCAAACAAACCCCAAGGAGCTAAGCCCTGCCCAAACAAACCCTAAAGAAGTCAAGCCTGAAACCAAACCCAAACATGCCATAAACGAAGCCCAAAACAAATGAAACCTTCGACCCAAACCCTAAAGAAGTCAAGCCCCAAACCAAATCCAAACAAACCCTAAAGAAATGAAACTCTAGAACAAGCCCAAACAAACCCTGAACAACTAAAACCTCAACCAAGCCCAAGTCAACCCCAAAGAAGTCAAGCCCGAAACCAAGCCCAGACAGACCCTAAAGAAGTCAAGCCAAAACGAAAACAAACATAACCTAAAGAGAGACTTAAATCATCGCGCCATACACGGAAAAGAGATGTAGAAACATCTTCTCAACCTCTTGAACCCGTCCAAGATGTCTGCAAATTTCTTTGGCCCTGCCACAATCACTTTCTTTCTGCCCTTTTGCGCCATTGATAGAACGCAGCCTTTCAAAATGCGGAGATTTCCCTCGCCTTCGACACTCTTCTCCTTTACACTTTCTTGTTGTTGTTGTCTCCTCGATCAGTTTCCAGGTTCTTGGCTCTGTCGTTCAGGTTTGTTGACTCTGGTTTTCAGGTTTCACGACTCACAGTTTCCTGACTCTGCCGTAGGTTTCCCGACTCTGTCTTCTCCCTCCTTGGATGCGTTGTTGGCGCATTGGAAAAGGTGTGAGAAGGGTAGTTTGTGGGTTGGAATTCTCTGTGTCCTGGACTTTTTTTTAGAATTCTTGTAAGGATGTGAAAAGGACGGTCACCCTTTTGAGCTTTGAAACCTCTTGCTGGGCCGCCTTCCCTGCGCGCGCCTTCTAGTATCATCTTGTCGACGCTTCGAAGACGGGTGAACAAAAGGACGCTTCGTTTTGTGGGTCACCTATCGTTAACGCCCCTTTGAAAGCTGTTTATATAAAAGGGAACTTTTCCTGGGGCGCATAAAAACGGCCCTAATGAGGTTTTATTGAAGCTTCGAACAGGTGTGAAAAGGCAATTAGCTAGGAGAAGCTGCGCGCGCCCTCTAGTATCATCATATTGACGCTTCGAACCTTCGAACAGGGGTGAACAAAAGGACAGTGACGCTCTCGTTTTCCGGGTCACCTAACAACTGCCTTTTTGAAGGGTGTCTGAGGCTTCGAACAACTGTGAAAAGGGCACTTTACTGAGGCACACAACAACTGCCCTGATGAGTTCTTGCAGCCCCGAACAGGTGTGACAAGGGCACTTTGCTAGGTGACAATTCAAGATGTGACTCATCGCCTGCAGGAGGAGTAGTCCCAAACAAGAGACCACGCCTGAGTTCTTTCTTAGCCGCCATGTTAAAACGTGTATGCAACAATCCTCAACCTTTCACCCGTGCATCTATCTTCAACCTTCCTGGGCGTCGCCTACTCATATCATCCGTTTTGGATGCTGTAGGACGGACGGCGAAGACTAACATCGCGAGCATCTGTGAAGAGAAGTAAACTGAAAAAACCACCGGTCGCCGTGAGAAAACTCACGCCTAACCAACTCGGATGCAAGAACCCATAACAAGTTCAAAGCACTAAAAAAATTCATTGGTTTCCGAGCAGGCTGTTTTGATGGGTGCATGGGAACTACCATGCCGACATTCACGCGCAGCTTTCCTGGCAGCCGCAATACGTAGTTAATCTTCGTTAACAAATGCAGCTACCAAATACCACTAACCGTGAGACTGGCCGCTGATTCGCCCTAACTTGTCGCTGATCCGGGAACTACCCGGCCGCCGGTCGCTGATCCGGGCACTTTGGTCGCTGATTCGGGCAGGGGTCTGGTCGCGGATTCAACGCGGTGGTCGCGGACTCGACGTTTTCTCAGTCACAGCATCGCTTTTGGACGCCAACTGCAGACCCGACACCCCAACGTGAAACCATCGACAATCCAAACCCAAGGACCCACAAGCAAAATCGCAAACCACCGGACCAAATCATTGTTCTATCATGTTCAACGTTTTGACCGGATCAAGAAGCCACCCTTGTCCCGGTAAACACAACATGCGCTGAATGATGATGGTGATGCTGCCGATGTTCGATGATGACGATGATGATGATGATGATGGTGATGGTGATGGTGATGAGGAGGAGGACGACGACGACGATGACGATAACGATAACAGGAAAGGTAAACAGAGTTGACAGCAGTTCTGCACACCAGAAGCTACCTTGAGAACAAGCCTGCCCCTCCGGCCCCCATAAAAGAGAAGAAAAGAACAAGACACGAAAAAGAGCGTGTCTCAAACACCGTTCTGAAGTGACTGAGAGTTCGATGCCGTCCTTCTTGACAAGCAATGTGGATGATCCGGGAAGGGCTGCTTGCGCGAAGGACGGGGAGTAGGATATTGGTCAGCAAAAAGTGGCTCAAATAGTTCACCTCCAGAACGGGAACAGCAAAAAGCCCGCTCCCCCTCCTCCCTTAATTAAGTAGGCGCCTACTTAATTAAGTAAGGGAGAGGAGCTAGGCTAGTAGCTCAAGTAACTACTACTTAGGACGCAGGATAGCTCGCGATAATGATTTGGCTCCTAGATTTTTAGGGAAACTTAGCAGTCACGGTTAACATCTCACGATTGAAAAGTTCAATGGGCGCTTTCATTGTGCCTGGAAGGCAGACTCAAAACCATCGCGGGTAAGGCTGCAAGCTTCTGTGGTTCCGGCGTTGTTCACCAAAATGTGGAGCCTCTGAACAAACAAAAGCTATTTTTCGAACAAGAGCAATTAACGTTAAAAGAACACAATGTTGATGTGTCTCTGGATTCTGGGCATCGAGACGTTCCAATGCTCTCAACATATCTCCTGGAAGTGACAGCGAGGGTTGCAGCGAGACGTTCCAAGGCAGTTCTTCGACCACTTCATCCAAGGCTCTCTGCGAACAAACGGACCGACTCCAAAGAGTCCATTTCTAAAGACCAAACCTAGCAGAAGCAAGTGCATCGCTAGTAGTAACAAGTGCCTTACTAGTAGTAACAAGGTTCGCTACTAGGAACAAGTGCATCGCTAGTAGTAACAAGTGCCTTACTAGTAGTAACAAGGTTCGCTACTAGGAACAAGTGCCGAAAACATGCGAAAAACGGTCCAAACCACTCAGTCGAGTTGCGTCACCGCCCCACAAAAAATGATTGGCGCGCGCTCGCTCTGAACAGACACTCGTGCACAGCTGTATTTTGGGGTGCACATTGCTGGGGTTGGGTAGCTGGCAGGGAAAGCGGACATGTTATGTGTTTGTTGTTGATTGCAAAACTCTTTTCGTATGGCATTCACACGGAAGCCTGTGCATTGAGACCCGATCGTTACGGCATCACCTAGCTTGTTTGTTACCCAAAGTTACTTCTCGCTTTACTATGGCAATCTCAAGCCGACTCAAAGAGGCCAATCGACAAGTCCAGATTGCCATTCAGTCTTTGATCATTTGCCAAATTCCGACTGAAAGACTGCATTTTTAGGATGTGCATTTTGAGCCGAGCTTTGAACCGAGCCGCAAAAAAAAACACGTCACAAAAAAGAGCACATTTTGTACAGCACGAAATCTCAAGGTCCACGATGGTGCCCCAAACTGAGTGTCAAAACTTTGCGCCACATCTCTAAAACTTCTGCGACCTCGTGAAAAGCAGGTGCATCGCTACTAGTAACAAGTGCCACGCTACTAGGAACAGGTGCCTTACTAGTAGTAACAAGAAGCTATTAGAAACAAGTGCATCGCTACTAGTAACAAGTGCCTTCTGTGATCACCCAAACACAGATTCCGTGGTCCGAATATGTGCGCAGCACCACAAGCAGAGCGTCGCGAAACTGGCCGACCGCGACCGACCAAAGTACTGCACCTACCTACCACACAAAATGACGCAACAACCATGAGGGCAACGAAGAACGTGAACCCTGGCCACAAACCCTCACTTACTTTAATCGTACAGCAACCCCTTTTTGGGGAGCAACTGGTTTGGGGAAAACTTCAAAAACTTAAAATAGAAGCTTGGAAAGAACAAGCCGTTTAAGCATTCAAGTACCACAAACCAAGACGAAATTCTTAAAATTGCCCGTCAAAGGAACGTGTCGAAGGCAGCCCAGGGCCGATCTCCCGGGTCACCGTCGTGACAAACTACAAGTTTGTCGAAGAATAATTGTGTTACTACTAGCGTGGCACTTGTTCCTAATAGCTTCTTGTTACTACTAGTAAGGCACCTGTTACTACTAGTAAGGCGTTTGTTTCTGTTTCGTTAATTTTTTGCAGTTTTTAGCTGTGATTTAGGAAAAATATTTGTTCAAGTACCGCAGGTACTCGGTCTATTGGGTCTAGTTAGGAATTACTCAGTGCGTTTTATGTAGCGTGCACTCTCAAAAATCCAAACTACAGAAGGTGGAGCAAACATCTTGAGGCACGTAAACGCGCCGTCGAGAGAAAAAAGGGATTTGGTGGAAAAAACATGGAAATACACATGTGCAGAAGATAATGTAGATACTGCTTGCAGTCACCTAAGCCCAACATCTTGTGTCTTGCTTGTTACTTGCAGCATCATGTGTCCATTCACAGGCTTGCAAACGAGAAACCGCCGGCTGCGCTTTGGCTTTGCTGGCCTTCTTCAAAGTTTCCAACCTCTGAAAGGTCGCAATTCTGGTCAAAACAAAGAGAAGGAGGAGACTGACTTGTACTTGGCATATTCAAAGCTGAAGGAACAAACTCTGTTTCATAGATCAAAGCCGCCAATGTTTCGAAAACAAATTCAACGATAACAGTCTAAACTCTGGAAAATAACATGCATAATATTAGTGCACCGTGGTTTGCTACATGTACAACAATTCATCATGGATCGCCGGTCATCAACAGTTGTCAGTTCCCCCCCGTCCTTTTGTTGCGAGTTTGTTTAGCCATTAATTAGTTCGAGTTACCTTGCTCGCTGGCAGGACGACTGGGTCGGGTGGGCGAGGAATCCTTTGCCCACAGTGTGTTGCGCAGGGCTACGTTTGGTTTTGGTGTTGTCACTCGCGTTTGTCTTGGTGCGTTGTCACTTACTACATGTCGTGGATGTATATGTTTCGCGCTGCCATTGTTTGTGTAATTGTTTGCCATTTGTTTATCCATTTGCCCTTGTGTAGGGTCAAGTGTGGTGAGTTGCGGCTATGTTTGGTGTTGCCATTACGCGTGTCAATGTTTGTTGTCTGTGTTAATTGTTTTTCATTTTTGCCTGTTGTCGCATTGCCTCTGCCTACATGTGTTTGGCGTTGTCATTGCGCCATGTCAGTGTCATGGTTTATTGTCTCTTGTTGCGCTCGTCATTGCAGCACAGGAGCGGTCCAGTTAACATCAGACTGCCTCAATCCCGTCAGGCGGGGCATCATCTTCCTGTCTTTGGCAATCAGCCGATTAAACTGGGCGATGTATTGTATACGTGAACAAGTCTTTTCACATCTTCCACTTTCTGCTCCAAGCCGCGCCACGGCCGCCGCACTGCTCCCCTCGGAGCGGCAACCCAGCACCACTGAGGCGCCAGACCTGAGACACTGACGCAGACGTGCAGCACGCCAAAAAAAAAAAAGAAAAATCACGTGGGCCAGCCAGGGCCAGCATATCTACAAGCTGTAAATAGCGCCGTCTCGCTTCAGTGCGCATGTGGAAGGCCGAATCCTCGCGCACTTGTTGCTCTCCATTGGTGACAACAGCATACGTGCACGTCTGTCTGTCTGTCTGTCTGCCTGGGCTGGCTGGCTGGGACTGGCTGGCTGGCTGGCTGGCTGGCTGTCTGTCCGTCTGCCTGTCTGTCTTTTCCATGTAGCTTCATCAGAAGTCGGTTTCGACAGCATCCCGACCACAACGTTTGAGCAACCCGCTGGACGGCGTCCAACAATCTCCTTCTTCTTGAAGTTCATGACGAGGGCACACGCGCGGCGCAAAAGAGGTTGCTCCCCCTTCCTCCATAGCTTGAAGGGCGCCGGTCCAGAGGCATGACACCCTGAGTTTGCAACCTTTGCGCGCCGCTATTCCCCTTGCACTTGAGCTCGATGTCCTTGGTGTAGGTCATCAAATGCCCGCTGCTCCCCTGACGCGCTTGCGCGCGCTTCCCTGGCTCCTTCATGAAGTGGTCTTTCTCCCTGGCAAAATACTGTTTGGGCTGGAGATTGAAGGCGTTGCTGCCTCGGTACATTCTCTGGGCAGCTTCGCAAAGAGCAGCCTGGCAACTGCATCTCCACGCGCTGCTTTTTGGAGATGCTGAGAGGCCGCGCGGGCTCCTTGTTCGAGAGTGACCACGGCATTGATGTCATTCACAGTACTTCGACGTGGCGAATATCTTGAAATTCAAAACGCGCAACCCGTAAAATCACGCAGGCGCCATAGTCTCCGAAGAGGAGGACATCCAGACAGGGCGGCCTGACACTGGCCAACGGTTTTTCCTAGCAGACAAGCCTAGCAGACAAGCAGAGAACCCGGCAAGAAAGAGGAGGACAAGGGGGGTTGCTTGCTGGTCGTCTTTCCACTGCCTCACGTACACAGGGTTGGCCAGCGCAGCCAGAGGACAACAGCAGGACAACTGGAGGACATGGGAGGAGGACTAACAGGCCCGCAGACAGCAGCAGCAGTTGGTTGTACACGAATGGTCAAACAGAAAAATTCGGTGCGGTAGCAAGCATCGTTGCGCAAATACAAGCAGAGCATCAAGGATTAGTTGCGCTTCCTTTGCATTCCGACAGGGAAAAAGAATTTGTCAACAAGACTTTGCAACACGATGCTTCGCAACAGGGTCTATAGCGCATCGCTACAGATCCGCGAGCCAACGGGCAGAGCGTTCCGCTGGGCTTCTGAAAGAATAGGCCCCAGGCTACTTGACCGTCATATGGCAGAGAAGTCTTGCGCCTCCTACCACAGCTTGCTTTAGGCCTAGTTCAAGGGATAGCTCCAGGCACACACAAATTTCGAGCAAAAACGGCACAGGCTGAAGAGCCGTGGCAGGAGCCAAGGTCTCGGTAGCCCGAAGCAGTTAGTAGGACTTGGAAGTCATCCCTTGGACCTTGCGTTTTCCAACGCAAGCCTCAGGCGAATAGGAGTGTGAAGGATTGTGACAAGACCCCGAGGCGAACACAAGTCCAGCCCCAGACTCCAGATTATATACGGGAACCCTTCACTGCACATTCGGGAGAAAGAAAAACAAAACATAGAACGGAAATTCTTTCAGAAACGGCCGTCCTCTAGCGCGTCGAAAGACTTCAAAATCAATTCGCGCGGAAAGCCTTCTAAGTCTCAAGCCGCGCCATTGCAAGAGCTGTGCGCAGCCCTAATCCTCGGCTCCAAGCAGGGGAAAGCAAACATGTAAAGTTGCAAAATTTGCAAACTGCTGTGGTTTTGAAGACCAGCCTGAGCAGCCACCTGTAACAACCTGAAAAATTACATTTCAAAAGCGGTCAACTTGAGGCGTCGTTTGGTTTCCGAAAGTGATATCCTTCGCGAGCGGTCGCCACCATGAGAGGCGATTTGGAAGAAGGCAGGGCACATGTATTGACAGACTATCCTGACAAGCGTCGCTTGTTTCTGACGTGTGTTCGTCACATGTCTAGTATGCGTTCTGACACATCACTTATCATAAAGATGGAGAATTGTTCTGGGCTGTGTTCTGACGTCCTTGTTGGCAAGCGTTCTGACATTTGTCCTGCCGTGAAGTGTGACGTGTGCTGTGACACATGGTCCGACTTTCGGCTTGATTTTGTGTATGTTCTGAAATCTGACATGGGTTCTGCCATCAAACCTGCCACTTTTTCCAACATATGTGCTTACAAAGCTTCTGACGTATGGTTTGGCATGCTATATGGCAAATGTACCGAAATTCTACATGGCAAACCTTCTGACATCCTTGCCGGCGTGCTTTGTGGCATCATTCTACGTGAATATATTTTCACACCCTTTCCGGCAGCCTATCGAGCTTATCTTGTGGCGAAATTCTGCCGTCTTTTCCGGCATTCTGTCTCGCATGTCTTGCGGCATTCTGTTTGGCACGCTGCCTGGCATAACTTCCGAGAACCTTTCCACATCTTCTGGCGTTCTAGCTGGCACGCTTCTGACGTCCAAACTGAATATCTTCTGACATCTTTCCTGGCATTCTTTCTGGATTATATTTAGACATCCTTTGCGGCCTTTTGTCTGGCAAAGGAGTAGCGCGTTCATTGCAATTTAAGACCCTCACCTAGCAGGTGGGAAAAAAGGGAGGCGCAGTATACGTAGCATACGCATATCGGCTTTGCAGCGCGCTACGCGCACTTGTTGGTTGAAAGGGCAGTGAAGTCCAAAGGATCTACAACGATCTACAAACGTCTACAAGGATCTGAGGTCTTCTGGCGGCCTTCAACTAAAGACTACAGGCAGAAGAGGCCACAAAGAGCAGGTGGACTTGGGCGCCTTTAGTAAGAGCTTCAAGGTGTCGGGATAAAGACGGACGCAAGTCCACCTGTTAGTTCTTACTTTAATAATCTTCAGGTTTAATCTCTGCAGCGCTGCGCTCTTTCGGTATCCTCTGCCTGCTCTTTTCTCACTGGGCACCCCACTGCACGCACGCCACCTTGGGTGTCTGTTGAATGAAATTCCCTCCAACTTCACTGCAGACGATTTGAATGAGATGCTTCTGAGTTGCTGAGATTTGGCCTGGGTTGAGCCAAAACAAACCCCGTGCGCTCAGTAAGAACAGCCACTTGTTTCTTCAGGAAGTTTCCTGTCAAATCAAGTCACCCCCGAGATTTTGATCCAAGCAAACACTCCGTTTGCGTCTTCAACCCTCTTGAACGCTGCATCCATGTTGTAACAAGTAACAAGATGTTACAAGTCCCTAGCATGTTCTACAAGGAAGTCTGATTGGAGTTCCAGTAGATTGGCAAACAAATATATAAACATAAGAACATTCTGGGAAAGCAGGCCGATGAAGAGATCAAACAAAACAGCGGGTATTCTTCCTAGCTTGGATGACTTCTTCCATATCGGAGAGAGAGAGAGAGAGAGCAATGAGAGCATGTCTTCTGGCGGAAGCCAATGCCAACCAGGATGCTTCCTTCAAGCATTACTTTGGGCCCTTTTTGGACCTAGAACCTGGATCTGACAAGGGCCTTTGCTGTTTTGCACTTGGCTGAATTCCGAACGAAAAGATATCTCTGTTTGAAAGGCAACAGAATAGGCAAAACGCAGGCCGCAAGCAGCCACGTCTCGTTTTGGGAAGCCACCTTTAGTTAGACCCACGGCTCTTCGGACGAAGTCCAAATATATAGAGACACCTGAGAAGGGAGGGGACGAAAGCCAGCCTCTGTAAGAAGACATCAACATGGCAATGGGGGGTGAAGTCGAATGGAGAATAAAATGCAGAGGTGGACAGTCGTAGTAAGGTGGGGGAGTGGGGTGCCCCTTGCTCTTGCTGCTCAAAGGGCGTTGCGAAGATAAAAAAGGCACCTTTGTCTTGTGTTGCAGATCGGCTCATAAAGTCGGTGCGCTGCTAAGAGTGGACCGAGGAAATGTTGGGAACAGAAAGCGAATGCATGGGTTAGGGGGGCGCCCTTTTTTCGCTCGGTTCACGGGCGCTTTGAAGCTGAAAAAGAGCACCCCTAAGGAACTCAGGGGCGCTTGCCCGCTGTTTGTTATTCGTGTCCTGCACCCTCAATCAAGCAACGCCCAGATTTCTTGCAAACCCTCTTCTTTTCCTACCCATCCTCCTCCGCTACGCCGCTACGCCTGTCTTCCACCGTCCCCACAGCATTCTGTTCCCTTGCCCTCACAGATCACACAATGTCTTCAGAGACACGCCTCCCTTTCACGCATGGTCAACACTCTTTCAATGGCCACCAGACGCACATCTCGGGTCCTCAAAAGTTCCAACCGCTTTTCTCGTCCCGCGGCCCCCTCTTTCCTATCGCCGACATGAACTTCCACCCCTGGTAGAAGACGGTTTACATTGCCTCCTGAGCCCCTCATGATGCTGATGATGCACTATTCGCCGTCAATTATATCACTTGCATCACAACACCCCAAAAACCATCAATGTTCAATCCCAAGCGGACCTGCCTTTTATATTTTTTCGCTCTCCACCACCAGGCTCTGGGTTTGCCCTCCGAAATTTGCCCGTGCGCAACTACCCCCCACACCCCCTTTTCCCACTTCGTTCGCCCAACCCAACTTCAGCCTAGCCTATCGGCTGGCTTTCGCGATAGAGAGAAATGAAACGCCTGTTCCGCTCAGAGATGTTTCATGCGTCAATTCAAGCCTGAAATGCGTATAAGGATGTTGAAAGACCTGGTGCAGCCGAATGTCATATCTATGGCCATGTCAGGTCTTAGGACAAGCTCCCGCAGCGGCATAAGCACATATGTCACGAGAATTGGGACCTGTGGGCCAGAAACACAAGAAAAATGCAATTGAACCCGAATGCAAGAAGGAAAGCGAAAACTGTGTTCATCTGAGGTCACTGCCACAATTAGGATCTTGCCTAGGCTAGAACTGTGAACTCACTCTGAGGTTCTCTTTGTGTCGGCCTCTCTCAAAGACACAACCAAATATCTTCGGCGCCAAAACCAATGAACAAAATTCATCAAGCCAAACAAACAAAAGAAGGAACGGGCAAAAGTTTCCCAAAAAGAACTGGGAACCACAGAATAGTGCGTGAAGTGTGCTGCGTCCAGTAGCCAGTAGCTACTCATGCTAGTAGCTACCTTATGTACCTAGTTCCTGTTAGCTACCTCACCTCCCCCTACAAAGTAAAATGACAAATTGCATTCTGTGTTTTCCATTGCGTTTCGGTTCCTTTCGGCCCTTTGGCCGTCTTGACAAGGTGCACACAATGCTGCACCTAAAAAAACACGAAGCAATTCGTCATTTGCCAAAAGCGACGCGCGAAACAATTTGAACAAAACGGCAAATAGTATTGGTGTGTCTGAGATGCTCAAACACTGTAGCGCAACACACAAGACCGACGTTGATGGCCAGGACCGGCGCCACTTTTCACATTCTTTCTCTAACTCCTCCTCTTCTTTCCTCCAGAACTGGACTACGCGTCTGACCAAGAATCGAAATTCTTTGTTTTTTCGGAGTCGCAATCTCGCTTGGTTCTTGGAGAGCTCTTCAGCGCTTATCTTGTTTGTTGTTGTCGCTGCTGGTGGGGGTGTGTATCGTTTATCCATCAACCATTCATTCATACACATGGGCGCCTCCATGCAGTTGACCTTTCATGACTAGAATGCTGTTCATACAGCTCAATGTCTCGGTGCGATTTTAGTTGCGCAGCTAATCCCAATCGGACTGCGCAAAGTCCAAAAGTCAGTGTTCTTTGAAAAGCCTGAGATGGCCCGAGATGGAGAAGTGCACCCTCGATCGCACAGCGCCACGACCGAGAAGTGTACCAAGTTCGGACTGGGTAGGGGCAGAAGAGGTTGAGGTTTACAATACACTTTCCTCTTCATGTCGCGCTCACTTGAATGCCCGACGTCTCATACGGCAGCGAAGCCCTGAAAGGGCATCAGACCTAGTCCAGGGTTCCGCATTTCTTTCAGCGATGGCGAACGCTCTGGCCGAGAAAGGTTCAGGGGTCGATCACAAACTCGAGATCTACATGATGCTCCGTTGAACGCCAGTTGAGACCCAAGTGTTGTCTCAGACTTTGATGGCTTGAGCTCCTGCACTTCACAAAATCGTCCAAACCCAACAGTCCCAGCAAGCGCTCCCATGTTTCACACGCGTCAAACCCACAGATTTCCAACCTTGCCTTATGGACTCAAACTCTTTCCCGGATCTGGCCAAGACAAACTCGTATGGGACCGTTTGTCATCAAAACAAATTTACCAGATCCGTTCGCTTGTTGTCTACCCAAAAGCTTCGAAAAGCATCAAAGGCATGGTTTGTGATTAAGAACTATGAAGAGAGCCGAGGTTCACAGGTGTTGCGGCTTCGAGTTCTCAATCGAAAGCAGGACGGAATTAGTTGCTTCGCAGAAATCAGACGGCGAACCGTTCACTCAATGCTCCATCAATTCGCAAGCTACGTCAGACTTGTACCAGTTCTTCGCGCCCCGGAATCAATGTCAGTGGACAGTTCTCAATGCACCGGATGATCGTGAGGCGTATGTTGCTTGCGCGCCCATGGTAATTATGAGTCCCAGTGGAGGATTTGGTCTCTTGAATGGTAAGCCTCCCCACTTTGCAGAATCAGGACGGTAAAGGCAGCGGCACGGCGAAGGGCGCCATGCACGCGCCAACGGTCAAGGAACGTCAGATGAGACCGGGACATGTTTCTCACGCCGTCAACCCGGTCAGTTGTCGAGGGCAAGTCGATGGGAGATGGAAGTAAGTGACGATAAGAAAATGTAAGAAGGATCGCATCAAAAAACCAACCGAAAGCGAGCCACTGAGCCATGAGCTCTCTATCGGAAGTGAGCCAGAGAATAGTTGTCACCCATTGCTTTGGTTGGTATATAGACTCAGGAGCAATTCGACTGTTGTTCTTTAAGCGAATCAGTGCCGGCATATATGGTATATTGCGTGAACGTACTTGACATCGGACTCGCCAGGCTATTTCAGAAGAACAGCTTCAGGTGAACCAGGGAGCGCACGTTGGAAGTGCATTGTCCTACGTTTGATCGTCAAGAAAAGTGAAGGCTTCTTCGGCGCAATTTGTTGAGTGTCTGGGGCTTGAGTTGTCTTCGCGCGTCTTTCGGCTATGGAACAGTGCCACATCCAAATCATGGACGTGAGGAGCATGGACTATGAGATCTGCAAATTAAATGTTCCATGGCTTCGAGCTCATATACAAAAGAACCCGGGTTCCAAATTTCTCAAGCCTCCATCGATCGCCCGAGTCGAGTGTCATGTCATCCGAGACGGGTTTCGAAAACCTGAAATGTCGAGACCTTCATTGAGCCAAGCCACGCGCAACGCTGAGGCCTGCGTCGCCCACCATTGCCAACAGCCAGGCTCTTGCCACTCAGTAGCATCTCAAGACAGCCATTAACCGAACCAGGACTAGGGAGTTGGACATTGGCGATGAAGCCGGCCCCAGCCTAAGGTGTTCCCAGTGCGTCAGAAAATCATTCAACTCCACCATGCACGGGTCAAAGATGGATCTAGCCCGCCTGATAACAAGTGACACTTGATTCAGGCAGATCTCTTTCTCTCAGTGTTGAGAATCGCCAATTCCTGTTGCTAGCTGATGCCGGGACAGGGTAGCTGGGCATTGACGTGCACGGGACAAATTTCAACCGCTTGGAATCAGTCAACATTCAGCGTGGACATCAAAACTGCAGGCACACAAACCAAATCCATCTAGCAGGAAGGAACGTCAGGAGAATGAGGGAGATGTTGCCATGCTTGAGAACTGATTTGCGCGCACACGTTTGGCTCATTGATATCACAGAGAGCTCAGATTAGATCTATATAGTCTTTAGGTATTACACGATCTTGCAGTACATTACCCAAACACGTAACCACTTCAGGTTGGGAGATTCGATCGGTGAGTCATCCGGGTTGGAACATCGAAGAACACCGATCGAGCATGTTGCGGAAAGATCGACTGAAGCCGGTTTCAACCATTTGCGTGGCCAAGGTCCCATGTTGCAGAATACCGTGAGACCTGCTGAGACACCAGTCTCCTTGCCGGGCTCTTCGATGCCAGATGCCCAAGGGATCTTGATAGGACGCCGGTCGGTTCAGAGTGTGAGCCATCGATTGCAGGAGAACTGACCGGCGATGTGACAATGGACATGACCCGGGTTGATGCGCAGCTTCTTGATGGCACTATTCACATGAGACACGTTTGTCTTCTCCACCTGGCCTATATTGTCGCACGTCAGTTTGACTGACAGCAAAACACATGTGTTCCTGGCGTTCACTTGCTGCAAAACCACAAAACACATTCTTCTGACCAGACTTCGTGGGTATCCCTGTGTACTGTGTAATGATTGATCTGACCGCGCGTCGCGCCTTCCACTTGCTGATGCTCGCGTTTCCCATCGCAGCTCAGCTTGGACAGGTCCAGGTGACTCCAGACTTTGTGAGGAACGGTCATTTCTGGCCAAAGAGCTTGTGAGACAAGCGCACATTCAGCGCAGAGACATCACTCTCTTCTGCGGCCTTGCTCACACATAATGGGTGACCCCATGTCGCACTGGTATGGGAGGACCCGAAGATGAAGCATTTTCCCCACCGGGCCAAGCGCTCTGGATATTTGCGCGTCTCCATTGAATTGGTACATGGCGGAGGCATGGTCACCCATGGCACGATGGACACCTCGGCTCTTTGTCGGTGTTCCTGAATAATTCAATCCCATCCATCGGAACCATCCACCACTCACGTCGAAAGAGCCCTGAGATTTGGGCCCACCAGTTCACTTAAAGCGAGCAGGGCAAGCAAAACAACTCACTGTAAGAGTCTCATCACCGGTTTGCCTTCGTTTGCCAGCCTATCGGCAGTGTTCTCCTCAGGCTCGTCCTCAGATCACTTGTCTTGTTGGGTTTCCAAGACCTTTCCGCGTCGTTCTCATCCTCCTCAATCACTTCCTCTCGCTCGAGGTTCTGGGTTCACTCTGCACTCTGGTACGCGCGTCGGCGGAATGAAGCACTCAAGGACATCTTGGCTTCTTGGCAGACCGATTGAACCAATTCACTTCTCCAAGAACGTCATGGCTTCGAAAAATTCCAAACACCAGACGTGACCACGCAACAACATGTTTCCTAAACTCTTGAGCAACTCTTCAAACACAACCGTATGACACCGCTGGATTTCAGGTTGCTCCTGCGCATGTGGGCGAGTGCCAACACATGAACATGACATCAGCAAATTCAGCAATTGCCTTATTGATCCACTTCTCCAAATGCACACAAACGGATAAGCTCCACACCCAACTTGCATCCCAAATCATCACTGGATTGTCTGCCAGGCACTTGCTCACCTTTTCTCAAGTTCGTTTGCGTTTCTTGCACCGAACTCTTTGACACGACTTGCCGAAGTTCTGGCGCCACCTCCAAGATCCCGGAGATCAGTGAGGTCTCCATTCAAAAGCTTCGTGAGCACATAACACCCAATCCAGACTAGCGTAAGGCGTAAGATCCCCGTTTTCTACAAGAGTTTGGATGAAACATGTGGCTTGAGGGACGCGCCTTACACGTAGTGAGAGTCATCGGTTCTGCAAAGCTGCGCAGTGCAAACGTCACTTCCGTCAGCGCTTGGCAGCGGCTGGCTCAGACAATGGACGGCCGGAAGCGGCCGTGAAACAGTTCTCTGTTGACGGCACAGACTACAGAAGATGGCGAAGGTAGAGCAGGGCATACCTGAGCGCTCAGAAGGCAGAGGGCATTGCAGAGGAAACTCGTGGCAGTTTGCTATGGCCGTTCAGCGGCGAAAGGATATCTGCCGCTGAGGTTCTTAGTCGCGATGGCTGCAGCGCGGCCAAGCTATGAAGAGAAGGATATTGCCTCAGCCTTGCGGACAACATACCCGGACAATCTCTTCGCGGCCGAACAGCGCGAGAGGATGGCACCACTACAACCATCCGGACAACCAGTTGGAGAAAAGAAGGGTCGCAAGACTATGGGCTGGAGAGACCGTCTTTTTTCCTCCCAACGGACACATCGTTCCGGACACGAGCCAAAGGAAATGGTTGCGTGGGCGCGCGCAGGCAATCGAGGCGCTCACACGCCACAACCTGGACGTCCAAGAACCACAGCGCACGCAGTTCCTCTGTTGGTTTCCAAGAGGCTCTTGAATTAAGTCTCTTGGAGCTCAGACCGACAACGAGGCCAACACCGTGGTCTTCAAGCAAGCTCACGCGTCGACGGGGTTGCTGGAGAGCATGGACCTCGATGGACCCCCACGTCTTCGTCGCAAGAACATTGACGCGCTGGAGGACGACGACTCCGGCGTGGACTTCACACTGGTGCCCTAATGAATGACTTGGTGATGGACGTGGGCAGAGAGAACGAGATGAAAGTTGGTGCGTCGGATGAGGCGTCCTATGACCTATGAGACGGAAGGGACCTCTTGAAAAGATTCGAGACTGAAAATGACTATACTTGCTGACGGACAGGTCAGTATAGTGTTGCCCTTGGCTGCTGTTGGAGAGGATGCCTGACGATGAGAGCGAAGCAAGTTTATTGCGCGGTGAGCAACATGCAAATGTGTGAGCCCACGTTGCGGCGTTCAGCCAAAGCCTACGTCGGTTGGGAGAACACCCACGCAAGCTTGCCGAGCAGCTACATTAGCCTCGTGGTGTGTGGCACTCCGGTTAAACCCATAGCACAGTTTTCCAACAACCATGATCGTGAATTGAACACGCCACAAGTCCATTAATTGATTTGCGGGCGCAAAAAAAAAACTGAACTTAATTTCTTATCGTTTCAATCTGTGACCAGCCACGCAGCCAAAATCACGAACCACTGTATCCATCGACTTTGCTTAGACATCGGGGTTGAATTTGATCAAAGTTGCAGATGGTGGAGCAGGGTTGCGAGATCAGGCTGCAGACTTGAGCGCAAGCTGATCCTTGACCATGGGAAGCGGAAGGGGACTTCCTCAAGATCGAAAGGTAAAGTTGCAGTTCCAGGTCCAGCAAGATTGAGCTCCAGTTTGGTCAGAAGCTCCACCGGTCGACTTGCGGCATGATGGCCCACAATGACAAGATCGAACCTTGCCCGCGCCGCCTTCCCAATGGTCATCCCGTTACCCTTTTCATGTGAACGCCCAACCTTCAATGTTTGCTCTGGGCGCAAGGTTGAGCGGGGGTGTTAAATCCCGTTGGCCCGTTGGTATCGCTCCTCCTGGTCAAACCATGCATTTCATGGGCATGAATGTTTCCATGCACTTGAGTCACTTGACCTTTGATGACTAGAACGCTGTTCGAATACCGCGCGAAAGCCGGAAGTGTACTTTGAAAGCTCTCAAACGGCGCCAAATCAAGAAGTGCGCCAAGCCCGAATGGATGCCACCATTGGCCCAAGCGCGGAGAAGGACAGCGCGCGACGAGCATAATTCCAGCGGAACAGGCTTAGGCTTACAAAACCTCACTTGAGCGTTTGAATGTTCATGTGTGGCGGTGGTGGCGGCGGCGGTGGTGGCGGCGGTGGTTGCCCTGAGATTCCAGCTCTTCTTCCTCTTTCCTTCTGCGTTCCTCCTCGAAAAAGGAACTGAAGAGACACAACGTGAATAGAGCCAAGTTTCACCTGAAAACAAGTTTGAAAAGTGAAAGACGGCGCGGGCGCCTTTCCCAGATACGGTGTTGGGTCTAAAGTTATCAAACGAACATGTCAAGATGAATGTACTGTAGTATGCTCAAAGACATTGAAAATTGCGCACGGACCGCAGGTTCATCGCGCATATCCTTCACCAACCAGAGGCTGAGGTACGGGGAAGAAGAACGCAGATCGATTTCGTCGATCAGCTCACAGACAACTTCTAGGGGTGGATCATCTGCGCTGGGGGGAAACACCCCCCACAAATTGAGCGCACAAGTACAGGCAACTGCCAGTACAGCTCCAACGCGGCTTCAACAAGAAGGGGAGCAAGCCAGTCAACCTTGGATGGTAGAGACGCTCCCTCGAAACTTAGTTCATGGCGTGGGCCACCTCAAGACCACAATGACCGCGCAAACAAAGCTCCCAAGGAGCGAATCCAAGACCACAGAAACAGGTTTTCAACAAGAAACCACCACCAAATCGCGGTCCACGTCAGAAAGAGATGTCTTCCAACAAAACATCAGGGCGCGACACTCATCCCAGTGAACCACATGCCCATTTCCATACCAAGGCTCAGCAATTTTCTGCCCTGCCCAACCAGTCTTGAGCCTCTGTAAACATGTTCAGTTTCTCGTCTCTTTGCTGTCGAGCCTGAGCGTGACCCAAGTTGTCTTCAATCAAGGGCCTCGAATTTTTCTTCGGCTCACAGCATTTCTTCCAGCATCTCGTTCAAACGCTCCTGCATTTCTTCCATGTGTTCTTCATACAGTTGTGAGTCCAACCATTCTATGGCCTGACCCTGTTGATCACACCTTTTCATTCTGGTTCTCCTCGACATCCTGGCGTTCTGCGTGAAGTGTTGCACCGCGCCGCAAAGCCTGGAGATCCCCCATCGTAAAGATCTGATGCCACCGCAAAATGCTCACGGCCCGAACACTGCACACAGGACCGGACCAAACTCGCGCCTTCACTCTTGTCGCTCTCTTCTGTTACCACTGGCCCATGCCATCAGCAGCAGGCAGCAGATATCTTTTCCACGTTTCAGCATCTGGTGCGCTCAAGACCTTGCTTGACATTCATCACGGCCACAGGCGTTCACTACCTTCATCACGTAGAGCTAGCCAAACATCTCTTCCTGGCAAGACTCTTGGCGCAAATCTCTGCGCAAATGAATCCTGACGCTGTTGCGGCTACGGTGAACGTTCTGTCCCTCTCCTTCTGTTGCGCCCCAAGCAGGGACGCATCACGGCGTCTCACCCAGATCTGACACGCCTGACTTTCACGGCGCAGCTTTCACTTTCAGTAGATGCTTGACGAGCAATCCGCAACACTCGCAACCAACTCATTCAGTCTCTCCACGCATGAAGACCTGCAAACAAGCGGCGCTCTTTCTTTCATCGGTCACCAGAATAGTCGGAGTCTGTTAGCGCTTCCACCAAATGCTCAGGCCCCATCCTCAACTCTTTCCTCCTGCCTTGGATCCATCCTTTCTGTTAAACTCCTTCCTTCGCTTCCTCACTCCAAAGTCAATGGTCTCCTCCCAACCAAAACCAATCCAGCTCTCTCTCTCTCTCTCCAAACCGGACCATAGTACTGCCTCCTGTCACATCTAATGTTGCGGTGCCCGTTTGCCAGTTTGAGCCACCCTTTCGAGAAGAAAACTTGTCCCCGGAGCTGAAGGGCCCCTTCACTCCTATGTTCCACTGTTTCTTCTCCTTCAGGAATTCCACAAACTCTGCGAGGTCGTTACAAAAACTTTAAACCGTCTTTCCCAACCACGCAGACATCGCCCACACGCAGCGGTAAGTACACGGCGCTCCTGTAAACGTGTGGAGTGATTGGGACGCGGCAGTTTTGTGTCCTGTGGCAGACATCTCAGCCGCCTGTACATCTTCTCCTCAATCTTCACGCAGGTTTCTCCTCAACATGGCTGTTCTGCCATGAGGATTGCACACTTGATGTCCAAAGTGACTGCAACGAAGCTTGAGCGTGCGTTCAGCAGCAAGTGAATTATCATCTTTGGAATTGGCCTTGCCACCCTCCCAGCATTTCAGCGCTGTCAAGGGGTGACCAGGTATGACTTCTCTCTCATCTCGGTTTCAATTCTGCATGGTTCTCTGTCTTGATCCCAATCACCCCTTGGGGTCAATCAAAACCTTCACTGACGTCGCGCGGAAGAACTGGGCGCTCCTCCTGCATGCATTCTGGCTCCTGCAGCAGAGTTTGGGGTAGCTCCTTCTCTCTCTCTCTCTCTCTCCCTCCTCCTCTCCTCTCTCTTGTTCGTCAAGGGCTCCTACGCGGCGGCATCGCCAACCCATAGCTGCAAGCGTCGTTTCACGTACGTTGGACACGCCTGTAGAATTGAAAGCTCATCCACGAATCCACTCTTGATCCATGCAACCCAACCTTCCGCAGCCTGACGCACTTGCACTGTGGCACTCCGGTTGGCACTAGGTACAAAATAAGGCTGAGAGGCTCCGGTTGGCACTGCTCAGCCTTTGCCATTCTTGGCTGCGTGACAGGTAACCAAGGCCCGGGAACCAAAGCCAGCCTGGCCCAATGGCTCGTACTAGATCTACGGCGTATACAGCCAAATGAGACAAAGACTTTGATGAAGATGTTTTACATTAGCCTGACGACATCTGTAAACGTTGTTCACAGCCACTTCTCCAACCTTGTCCCCCGAAATCGCCCAGAATAGAGGCTATCGTAACACAAAACATGGGCATGGTTAGGCCGCGGATCAGGGTTTACAACCCGATCCTGAAGCCTTTGGACGGGTTCTTTTTGTGAGAAGGGCTCTTCAAACATCACCTTCTCAAGGAATAACGGTAGCAACGGCAATGGCTCAGTTATCTTCTCAAACTGGTCATAGCCAACTTTCTCCAATTTGCCTTTGGAAATGCGACCTCAAAGCCTCAATTGATTTGGTTGACATGACTCCCACCAGACAACAAAATGACCCACGCAAACGGACACAGAAGCCAGTGCTAAGTTTGCAGCGCGCTCAAAACTGCAAGTTTTACTTTCCAGAGCAAGACACTGTCGCACGGGGTGTTTCAGCTCCCACCGCGCGGTACTCCATTGTGGGTAGCAAGCAGCAGAGACTGAAGAAGTTTCAATGCTAGTTCACTCATGTTTATCCACGTTCAACCATGCTCATGGCAAGCATGAAACAAACGATCAAAGTCAAAGCTGCGGACCAAAACCATATACTCAAGTAAAGCCCATCAACACAGCCCACCACCTTGTTTAGCGCTAATATTGACTTCCAGCCGGCCCGTTGCGACGGCAGTTGATCTGATCTTGCACCCACGCGGGACATCCAGTGGAAGCCCCAGGTTTACATATCGACAAGCAGTACGCTACCATCCCGCAGTGTCAGGTTGACAAGTTCCCTCAACGTCAGAAAGGCGAATTGGGACACCAACCAACCTGGCTTATTCATGGTTGTCGCCACTTGGTGTCGCAAGGCTGAGGGTAGCTTTGTCAACGGCCGACGGTCGCTCAACGTATTCGTTCTGAGCGAAGGGAATCCATTTTACGGCCTGGCAACATCTCACACTCCCATTGGCCGAACAAAGCCGTGAGGCCAAAGGATACAGATTTCCCGCTTGCCCCTCCATTTGCCGCAGCCGCTTATGCCACCAGCCATGCGTTGGCACGTCGCGCATTGGAAAAAAAGAAAGAAGCAAGGAAGGAAGGAAGGAAGGAAGGAAGGAAGGAAGGAAGGATGGAAGGAAGGAAGGAAGGAAGGAAGGAAGGAAAGCGCGCGTCTGCGCGGATATCAAGACGTCGAACGTAAGTTGTGATGATATGTAGCCTACCTGCATACGCAACTTTGGATATGTGCGGATGTATGTTGCGATGGTATTCAGCTCTCGTGTTTTTTGAGAAAAACCCTTCGCACAGGTGCTCTAGGGAACAAAAGTGTAATTAATGTGAAAACAAAGATCGTCCTCCAGCTCTGCTGCCGTTCTTGTTTCCTTTTTTGTTTCCTTCTTGTCTTTCTTCTCCTCCCTATCCTTTCCGTTGTACTTCTTCCTCAGGAGGCCATGGAAAAGCTTCTTTCTCTGAAAGACTGGTCAAACAAGCTGATGGCATTCTTCTACTTTCTGCAGCTTTGAAGCAAGCGATCAAAATGCCCCATGCTTTGGCTTCACAGACACGCGCACACACTTTAGGCTTGCGCCAAGGCTGCGGCTTGAAGTGGCCATGATGAACAGTATCAGGCAATGACTTGCACGCAAATCGCACCAGGCACATCTCTGCATGCAGAGTGCATCCGTATGATGTCCTATATGTAAACCTGTTTTACGAGCGCTAAACAAACTTCTGCTGCCACAGGTTTTACTTAAACTGACCTATTTCCGCTGCGATCTTTTTCTGGCGTTCTTCGGCGCCATGCCAGAGAGACTCACTTACGATCTTTGGCTGGACCAAGATCAAGGGTGAAATCTGTGGACTGCTCAAAGGGGGTTCGGAAAGGACACGTTTCAGAGCAATATGCCTTTAAACAATTTGGGCACAGAGACTGAGGCAAACTAAAAAGGCGCAGTACCCAGCCCTCAGGCGGCGATGAATCCTTCCTGAGCCGAAAATATCCGAATCACAGTCACGTTGTCAACGTAACAATACTATTAACCGAGTTGCCATGCAAATTCAATCTTAATCTATTTTCCCACCGGGGATCTGACCTAGTAGCACCCGTCGGTCGCAATGGCAACAGCAATGACCAGTCACAACTGCAGAAACATCGTTTATCATCACCACCGTTGGCGCGGGACTGCGTTGTTGTGTCTGGGATGTGGTAGGGCTACCGCGAGCGCGCGAGCATGCCCGAGCGGGTGAGCAAGTGAGTGGGTGAAGTGGTTGAGTGGGTGAGGTGGGTGAGGTACCACAACCTCTACCACTCCCCACCAACCAACTACCATTGCAACATACCGCTGCTGCTGCTGCTGCTGCTGCTGCTGCGGAAAGGTCCCAGTTTCGACACCACTGAAGTTTCTCTCCGCTTCTGCCTGCGCTTTGATAGACAAGGTGGTACCTGGAGTCTACGCCGTGTAATTGTTTGTTCCAACAACACTTCGGATCTGGCACCGCGCGCTGCTGACAGCCTTTTTGTCTGGTCTTCCTTCCCGTGAAAGAACTTGATCGCGAAGCTGCAGCTCTTGGAAGCAAAATTCGACAACAAAATTCCAGACAGAACCTCACGGGAGGGCAGAACGAAAGCTTGGGCGCAGAACTAGAAAACTTCAAACTTGAAACCCAGGAGGCGCCTTCTTTTAAGCCCTCAAAAGTGCTTCCACTGTGGTCAGTGGTGAATCTGGTGAAATCCCGACTGGTTGGAGTAATATTCGAGACGCAGCGCTTTACTTGGCTTTCCAAGACTGCAAGCCTTTTAAGTCGGGAAAGCATTGTTCAGTGCTGGGCGGGCCCACTGAAGTGTGGTAGGCAGGTAAGCAGGCAGGTAGGTAGGTAGGCAAGTAGGTAGGAGGATAGGTAGGTGGGGTAGGGTGGGGTAGGGTGGGGTAGGGTGGGGTAGGGTGTAGGGTGTAGGGTGCAATATCCGCCAACACAGTTGGCGCCGTATTAATGCTACACCCCTTGCCCTGCCCTGCACGATACAGAACTCTTAATCAAATTGTGCGATGAAGAAACCCTGTACTAGGAACAAGAGGACGCTACTAGGAGCAAAGGCCTCCGCGATGAATCGCGGGGGGATGAGGCCCTGGCGCCGGCGCGTGGCCTAGATTCAGGAGTGGCTTCCGCTCCTGGAAGCTGTAACACGATCTTGCCAAACCTTATGCATTAGAAGAGAGATCTCGAATGGTCGCTGACAAGATCGTAGAAATGCTGGCGCTCCTTTTCCTTTAAGAGCTCGGGCCGGCGCTGCCCAAGCTCAGCTGCAGCGGCAGTGCATCTCAATAACAAATCTGCTCCTCTTGGTCCATATGGCTGGATCGCCTCACTGTCGCCAGCAAACACAACAAAAGAAAAATATGCAAGCAAGCAGTCAAGAAAGCATTCAAACGTCAGAGGCTCAAGGACAAGTGCCAGTCAAAACAGAACAACCTCTGACTTCAGTTCGACATCAACTCCAAAACTGCATGTTCTTTGTCAGTCAGCATGATCTCTGCGTGCCTCCAGCGTATCCGCGCTCTTGATAGGGTTCTCGGATAGAACCAAGCACCTGCACTGCACAAATCATTTTCTGCTTGCTAGCTTAAGTGGTTGGGTATCTCGCAAATTGCGTTCTGACGCCTTTCTTCCACGTGTACCACCTGTTGCTTCTCTGTCCCTTCCGCTGCACCACCGCCGACTCAGCACTGAAACCCTGGCCCTTCACTTAATTCCTCGTCAAAAATGACAAATGAAAGAAAGCATTGAAGACACCAGTTGACGTTCTTCGTTCTTTCCCTTCCCGCCGTGTTTGTTCTGTTCTTTCCATTTAGCGGTCGCTTTTTCAATTGACCTGCACCGACCTGAAACCCTCATACCACGCAGCTCAACTGGGCACGGGGAAAGCAAGGCAGCTTGACGCCAGCGCTGTCCCAGGCACTGATCATGGAGACAGGCTAGGAAGCTAAACGATAGCGGCACCGACGCACCAAGGTAGACATCCATATCTCCAAAAAGCCAAGAGAGCCCCAATCAGGGCTGTGTGTACAAGCATTTCTTCTTAGGAGCGACGCACTCGAAGTCGCTCCAGAATGAGCGATCAAGTGTGAGTATGCTCTTGACTTATACCCGAGATGGCCTTCCAAAGTATAAGTCAAACACATTTGGGCCAGGGTTGGCACAAGGGCACGAGCGAAGCCCAGTTTTTGTGATGACACAGATCCATATTGCGCATGTATAACGTCCAGGGTAGCGAAGACACACGCGCAATGGTGCTCAGCTGCACTTCATCGAATGTAGAGAGTTGATGCTAAGGTGTGTTCGATACCACGCAACAGCGCTGGCAGGATATATCAGTCAAGGATGGTTCTAAGCTTGCGCCTTGCACAACAAGTTGCTGAGTGGCCTGCTTCCGATCAAAAGCGTTTGCCGAATTTTCACTGCGGCATTACGACATGACCTGCTCACGCCTTCTTGCCAAATTTGGATCTATGGGTCTGCGTTGCAAGGTTGGGTGTTTGCTATTGGCTTGTCGCTACTAGCGTCCTTCAGACTTGGAAGGAGAAGATCTTGGAGTTTTGACAGATGGGTCGCAGTGTACCGCTGGAGGGCGCAGCTCTTTGGTTGGTGTTACTTTCAGCCTCAAGAGTGTTTTTGTGTTCTTTGATTGTGTTCATTCGCCACAGTTGCATACATGCTCGTGCCTACACTCTACCAACAGATTGCTCCCCAGCAGCAATTCATATAGGTTTAGGAGCTGCCGCGATACAAAGTATGTCGCGATGTAAGAACACATGAGAGGACGGGAAGGACGATGTTCAGATATCCTATTAATGCGCAACCCTGTGGGTTTATCTTGCAGTTGCAGCAGCTTGCGCGCCTGCTTTGCCTGTGAGCCTGCGAGAAAAATAAAGACGACTGCTGTGCATTAAACACAAGCTTGCTCCAACAGGTTCAACAATCATTGCACGCCGCTTTCCACGCTTCCCACCCTAGTCTTAGAGACCATATGAGACGCGGCTAGCATTTAACAAGGCCAAGTGTCACGCAAACCTTTCAGGACGCGAACTCGCCCAACCCACCTCTGGCGCGCGAAAAAGAAAACTCGTATAGAAAATCGAGCAACTCAACCTCGTCGAATTGCAGAGCGAGACCCAAGGAGCTTCTTTGGGCCAGATGCCTAACCACAAAAGCGGCGACCCAAGCAACCCACCACACCCGAAGACAGCCACAGGCGGCTGGAGCGAGAAAACCCTACAACCAGAAGTAGCCTATCAAACTCTTCAATAAACCTAAAAGCGCAAGCAACGCAGAGCATGGCCGGAACAATCACAAGCATGAGGCAGGAGGCGAGTACTCTTTTAAAACACCTGGTGACTCCAGGGCACAGGGCACCCGGCCTCAAGGCGAAGGAATGTGCGTTATCTTGCTCCTAATAGCGATGCCCTTTGTTCCTAGTAGTTTCTTGGCACTAACAATGCCAGGAACTACTAGTAGCGATGCCCTTTCCTAAGGCACTCAGTTTTCGCACTCCAAGGCGCCGAAGTTCGGACAGTTTTCGCAGAAAAGTCTCTTCGCCTCGCTCCTGACCGCCGACTGTGGCCAACCGTGACGAACGAAAACAAAAACAAGGCTGCTGGCCTGTGCAAGGCGATGACAAACAAGGAACCGTTTGGGAAACCACTTCACTGCTTCATCCGTGACACCACCACATCACCAGTTGCCCAAGCACTGCCAATCCAAAGCCCGGCGAGACAAATTCGTTGAACATGTGAGTGAGTGGAGTGGAGTGAATGAGTGGAGTGGAGCGAGTGAGTGGAGTGAATGGCAAGGCTATACAATAAAATGTTTTTCGCGCCATATTCCTACAACGTTCAGTGCAGACCTGTTCACACGCACTTGCACAATGAATCTACATCATAATTTAACTTGAAGACAGTACATTAGAAGGAGGCTCGTTTCAAGTAGTGTCCAAAAGTAAAGTAAATCTCCACGATCATCTCCTTGACAGATGGTACATCAGCGTTCTCTTCTCTGCCAAATTCGTGTGACTGCTCACTTACCTCTATATCTGGGACGCACTCTGCCGTCCAAACGCTGGAGAAACCGGGGCGTTGAGTTCCGCCTCTTGTTGCCAGAGGTCGGAACCTCACACTTCAAAAGCGTTTGCAAATCTCTTCATAGAACTCAACAAAATCCTACTTCGGTCCCTGGGGACTAAATGATGCCAATTTTTTCGAGGGTTCACGTGTGCCTTGGCATCTTGAACTTTTCTGAAGTGCTACTCGGGAAGCTGACATCCTTTGGCATCACCAACAGCAATCCTGTCACCGGTGATATTAGACACAGTGTGGTCCTCCTCCCCTAAACAGTTTGGAGGTGGAACGTTGAGTTTTGCACTGGGCCTGACAATTTCTTTCTCGCTGGTAGTCACACTCCTGCGAGGATGTCGAAGAGAACCAACTCAAAAACAAACAATATTCAGTCTATCCGCGTGAGTATATTGAAACTCTTGCGATAAAAACACAACCTGGCATACCCACTGGCCACCCAGAAGCGCAAGCGCCGATGTACGCAACTCATCCAACAAGGACGCGGACGCCTGAGAAGTGGACTTTTATTCTGCTGTACGGAAAGATATCTCCATCTTGCGGTCATTCCACTCCTCTTCATCACGCCTCGCACGGCGTCAAAGTTCTCCCGCGTGTTCTCCACTTCTTCCTGAATTAGATTGTCTTCTGCGAAGAGTGGCTCGCAACCCCAGCACAGACATTCCAGTGGAGGAGCGGTATATCTTACCTGAGGGTAAGCGTGAAGCATCAGCCTCATCGTCATTGGACGCGCATGTATCTTTTCATCAAAAGCCTCCATCTTCACATCTTCAACAACAGGACCGTCAACCATTTCCTCTTCTTCCGGATCAGCCATTCTACGCAGAAATTTCGTCTGAATAGCGGCAACCTTCCTGGCAACGCGTTCTGATCTAGGGAGCAACTGAATCTGAGGTTCCTCATCTTCGACCTTCTGAAGTTCAAGTAGCACAGACTTGCAGTCAGGGTGATGCAGTACCACGGTCTTGTACAAAAAAGGCTGCGGCGGTCACCTTCATCAGGATCAGCGGCCAAAACCTCAACTGAATACGATACAACGGCGTTCCAGGAATGAATTCCTGCCACAACGCGGATCCAATGAGGCAATTTCTGCAGACAAAAATCGTGAACTGACTCAGTACATAATAAGTTCATCGCGTCTGCAATCTTCTTGTCATACTCGCACCTCGTACGCAACTTGAAGTACATTGGGTCTCGGAGAATACTTGCCCCAGTGTGGCTTGTCAATTGTCCGTAAAAAACATCTCTTCACCTCAAGCTCTTCACCTCAAGACAACGAATCCTTCCAACTCCTTGCCGTTGAAATACTCCACGTGCTGCACTGGAATCCAGGTAGACCTCCATGGTCACTGGGCGCCCTGCAAAGGTGAGGATCTCTTTCAGGAACAATACTTCTGCGCAAGCTGCCACACCACCATTGAACTGTATCGGAGTGGACCACCAAAGTGGTGAGTTTCCCCCTTCGCTCAAGCCAGATGCCATACTCCTTGGTGCCTTGTATAGGTATCGGGCAAGTCGATGAACTTTTGCCACGCAGCCATCGTTTGACAGCGAACTGAACATCAGCGCGGTCATGGCTCAGGTAGAGGGCGATCCCATCCCAACTCCTGCCCTGTAGAGCTTGGCGTTGGCCTCATTCGGCTTGGCTCCATCCTTGACACCTCCATGGATGTATGGCGTAAGTGCAGGGTTGCACTGCTCCAAGTTCAGCATCTTGAGCAAATCAGTGATGTACTTGGCTCTTGGCGTGATGAAGGTGCCATCATTGAAGATCTCCGGAGTCCGCTTCAGATGAGTGAACTTCTCGAATCTGACTTTTCATTTTGACCCTCAGGCGCAACTCCTTCTCTAACTCCACAAGGGACTTCTGAGGTCCTGTTGCAAAGAAATCATCCATGTGAACCTCCATCAAGATGCCCTTGGTGGTGTCGTGGAAAAGCCATGGGGCTGCAGCGTTCCTTGTGAATCCCAGCTCCTTGAGAGGTCCAGCTGCCCATTCCTTCGGCCATACCACTCCTTCTTGAGCTTCCACACCACCTTGTCAGGCAATTCAACTCCAGCTTCCGGCTGCTTCTCACGCATCCTCCTTGATGGGCACTTGCCAAAAGGCATTCTCTGCGTCAGCTGTCATGAACGAGTAGCCCATCTTCATGCCAATCACATCAACCAGCCTTGATGTAGAGGTGCTCGATGCCACCGCAAAGACGTCAGTCCTTGGGTCTCCTCTCTTGAACTCACGAACACAGCAGCGGCATCGAACTGCACCAGCAGGCTTTCTCACCTCCACCCAAGTGGCGTCCAGCACCTTCATCCCAGTCTCATAGGGGACAGGCTCATAAGCGTCATACCTGTCCATCTTGCCATACTCAACCTCTGTGCCGAGGGTGCGCTCTTCTTCAGTCAGCGGCTTGCTCTCTTCATCCCCAGAGTCATGGGCTGCCATCTCCACATCCTCCTCATAATGTCATAGACGACCATGTCCTCAGTGGGAGTGTACAGCGCTCCAACTAGACTCCTGCCACGCGTGCCCGCTTGTCGAGGTTTCCTTCAACTTCACCTCCAGGCCTGGCACGTCTTGCTGACATCTGCTGGTTCTCCATTGCGGACTTGCCGATGGCTTCTACAGTCTCCATCGCCTCAGTTGAGGGCTCAACAATGCTGGCAGGCTTCTCAAGCCACAAGGATGGGCTCATCCTGTCGTTGGTGCCAGTTTGGTCCGCCTAGGTTGAGAGTAGCCTCAGGCTCTTCGATCTCCTTCTCCAAGGGCTTGGTCTTGGCCTTCTTCTCATCGGCATCGTCAGTGGGCAGTGCACGTGGTGTCATGCAGACCACAGTTTCCAGCTTCCTGTTCAGTCGACCAATGGTTGTGCATGGTAGCGGCATGCAGAAATGGCCGCGCCTTTTCTAAGCCTTAAAGGGGCTGAAGTATGCCCGTGTACAGAAAGCTTGTACATCCCAACAGACCTCCCATTTGTTAGAGGGAGGGAGGATCCCCTTTACTAATTAATCAGGATCATACAATACATTGCCCAACTACAAATCATGGAGTGGAGTGGAGTGAGTGGGTGAGTGGGTGAGTGAGTGAGTGAGTGAGTGCGTGAGTGAGTGAGCGAGTGTGAGGGAGCGAGGGAGGGAGGGAGGGAGGGAGGGAGGGAGGGAGGGAGCACACTGAGAACCCTCGGCATATTACGCGTTTTAAGACTCTGCAAGACTCTGTAAAATGCAAGATAACACACGAGCAGAGTCTTTCCAACACTTTGAGACATCTGCAAGACGAGCGACTTTTTCGAAGCGCGCAAATCACACTCCGATTCAATAGCCTCAGATTTTGTAGACACCTAGACTACACGGCATCTCACGTTTTGCCATCTAATTTGGCCTCCAGTGAACACTGTGAGCTGTTAAGAATGGAGTAGCTGAACAGCCAAGATGAGGTGAGGAATATGAGTCTGAACGAAAATGAGCTTAAAAGTATGGTGCAATTCAAAATGTTGTGTTTTGCTCGTTTCTGTGGAGTCAAAGTGTGCTCTCCTTGAAAACACACTGGAAGAAATGTGAATCAATCAACATCTGTCTGGATTCCTCGAGCTCATCCACCAAGGGTACAGGAGAACGTCTCTGACGCCCCTCTTTGAGAACCTCCTGTCAAAGTAGCACAAGAGTCGAGAAAAAACAAAAAAAAGCATCGGCAAATCGTTTGAGAAGGACGCTTCGTGCCGAAGGCTTCTCAGCCTTGTCTTTAGCAGCTGCCTTTGTGGCCGCCTCGAAAACACGAAAACACAATTGAAGTTCTTTGAAAACAAAAAACAAAAAAAGGTCTTTGTTCAGCACTCTTTGCGATTTGCCCGCCTCTTGCTTCGCAATGCGGTCGCGCGCAGCTGCGAGTTCCACCTGACAGCGGTGTGAAAGGTCGAGCGCTTAGTTTCCCGCAAAAAGCCAAGACCAAAACTGTTTCTTCTCTTCGCATGGTTTCTTTTCGCGCCTTGTCAAGTTGTACAGGTTTGAAAGGCTGACAAAGCGCTTCAAGCCCCGAATCCGTAATGCGATTTCGACCTGGCCAAGTCGAGAAAACAAACCTCGGACCCACTGCGTGTCCATGTCTGTTACTAGTCACAAGGTGCAGCTTCTTGTTAGTAATGCCTTTGTTACTAGTTGAGTGCAGTACTGACCTGTAGGTTGCACGTCTTGTTCCACCATCTTTCTACGTCGGGCGCACAGAACATAATATCAAGTTCTCCGTCGAGTCGCCCAGTTTGTGTGGTGACTTGGCCAACCTAAAAGCGACGGCCTCCACCTAGTAAGCTTCTTACTAGAAAGCTTCAGACATACTAGAGGGCTTTATTGTTACTAGTAGCGATGGCCTCCAACCTTTTTCACAGTTGCCTCAAACGGGTGTCTCACTGCATACGCCTCACCCGGACTCAACTCGCTCAATGACTCTCTATTCTTGGGCGGGTTTGAACGTCGTCAGGTATACCTTTTTGTATGCTTGCTTGATTGGGTATTCCTTTCTTCAAAATCCAAGTTTATATAGATTCTGCAATTTTGGTATGCTACAATTAAAAATCTCAGGACCTATCTCAGGCATGTTCCTAGCATGAACGTAAACAAATCCTTGGAAAACAAAGTGCTGAAATTGTGTCAAATTGTTGGCCCGGTCGAAGATAAAGTTGATGGAACGCAACGGTATGTTCGACCCCTGTGCGAATACCTTAGGGACCTCAATGTGTTTGCTGAGAAAATAATCTGATAAGCTAGTAGAAACAAGTGCCACGCTAGTAGTAACAGGTGCCTTACTAGTAGTAACAAGAAGCTAGTGGTTAATTTAGCTTTATTTTAATTCTAATAGCTTGTTGTTACTAGAGTGAAAGGAATCTGAGAGAACACTGAGAATTTCTAAAGTGTTCTTATGGCAAAACACACAAAACACACCTAAGAAAATTATCTGAATTGGCCAGTATCGATGATTTCCCCCCTCCAATTTCTTGGTTGGGGATGCGCAGGGCATTTGGTACCTACAAAACAGCGGGCCTGCAAAAATTTCACTATATATTGCTTACGACTAAATTGTCTTCCACCTCAATTTGCTCACTAAAAAGAACACCGCGCGCACCCATATACGAGCCTCAAAAACTGGCTGCCACAAGATGACAGGCTCCATGACCACTCATTTTGTAGAGAAGAAAAGCTGCCAATGTGTTTGGAAGGTAAATATAGAGATGTGCAACCCGTTTTGTAGTGATTCAAGGGAATTCCAGCGATCATTTTGTAGTGACTCAAGCTGCCATTTTGGAGTGTATCAATGCACCGATGACAACACAAACAATGGATGCGTTTTGTGGCACGGAAACGGCACAATGCCCGTCTGAGAGCAATTTGTATGCTCAACTCCAGATTCAGGTTGTTAAATCACTTGCTAAAGTCGCAAAGCCGGTTGGTCAATGTTGATTTTGCCTCTTGGGGGAAATCCGTGGATGCTTTGTGGCAGCAGGTGCATGACTCAGGTTGCATTCCCCGTCGCTGGAACGAGGCGAAGGTCGTCTTGCTGCCCAAACGAGATGGCGGATTTCGACCGCTGAGTGAGTACACTGCACGTTGTTTGAGGCCTCTCTCTCGAGTTGGTCCAGCTCCTGTCTTCTTGGGGGAATGCCAAATTGTTCCATTTTTGATGCACATGTTCGCTTGACTCGCTTGTTGAACAATGAAGACCACGCACGTCAACAACTGGTGGTTTGGCAAGATGTGAGCAAGTTCTTTGACAGCGATCAACTTCGCGTGATTGCAGTCAGACATCTTGATGCGCCGCATTTGCTCGCCTTTTGGAAGCTTTCTATTCATCTTGTAAGAGGCACCTTGTGACTTGTGATCCATAGTGTTGTGGATGCTCATCCAGTTGCCGAACAAGGGCTTCTCCAAGGATGCCCATTCTCCCCTATGTTGGCCATCATGGCAGTGTGGACTACATCTGTTTGTGCTGACCGCACCGAAGTTGATGGCCCCTAGTAGCGTAGTAGCGAAGCCAGGCATTGGTAAACAAAACGCCGATCACACAGGCAAACAAACGATTGCCCAGATGGCAGCGGCAGCGGTGGACCAGAACGCCAGAACGCCGATCAGCCACCCAATCACTGAGAAGTAGGAACCCCTGGCCCTATAGCTGTCATCTATCGTGAATTATGCGAAGTTTTCTACAAACTAAGAAGTTGATCGTCGGTTTTCTGAATGATTGTTGTCGAACACTCGTGCGTGGCAACTTCGCATCGACAGGCCTAAGCCAAGAAATTCTAAGCCACGGTATGCGTCCAGCCTCGAAATAAACGAAACACGGCCATAACTGGCACAACACTCAATATCTTCTCGGATGGTTCGCGAAAGTGATTCTTACAGAAAACAAATCAAGTGTACTGACATCTCGCCAGGGTCTATCGTATATACGCACTTATGGTTTTTGAAATGAAACTGTTCCCTTTGACATACCAGGTTTTGCGGTTTGTTTACGCCTAGCACTCTCGCTCTCTTAGGGCTCAGCGCTGAAGCAAGGAGTTCTGCTCCGTGGTCGCAAATGCGATTCTCCCAGAGGTTTAAAGCCCTCAACCAAATGGCATAAACAAAGTCGATGAGCAAACCACAAACAGCAGGTCGTGTGAGTCTCAAAAGATCGTCTCGAACCCACCTTTAAAACAAAGTCGTGACAAAGCAAAAAACCCTCAAGAATACCGACATGCCCCTCGAAAGCTTTGGCCTAGCTGAGCCGAACTGCTGGCTGGGAACCAACTGAAAAAGGAACCCAAGGTCCAATAGCAGCCAACCGGTTAGGAAAAAGAAAAGGGTCAGCGAGGTATGCTGAATTTGCAACGAACAGGAGCCTCAGCTGCCACGGGCACTTTGAGAGCATAGCGCTGATGGGGCCCAGCCTCATCAAGGGAAAGGCGAACGTTTTTTTGAATAGATTGTCCAACGCAAGAGAGAAACAAAGACAAAGAAAGATAACGCTCTTACAAAACATAAAGTGCGGCCGGACATGTTCCTTTGGCAAAGGGCCTTTGGGTTACGCACATATGTCGTCTTGACAGCGTCTGTGGTTTGGGCGTGTCAGTTCAACTTTCACACTCCTCCTTGGGGTTCTGAGCATAGGTTGTCGTGCACCCCACTCTACCTACCCAAAACATCTGAATGAAAAGCCAGCATGCCTTGCAACCTAGGGATGCCTTCCCCCTTTCACAGTTTCAAGGTACTTCTTCTCTACGGTCATGATGCTCTCAAACATGACCTCCCATCATAACGATCAAGGTCTCCAAGCTCCCTGAAGTCAGCTCTCTGGATCCACTGTCGTGTTCTGGCATCCTCCTCTGGGTCAACCTCGGGTTCTTCCATGGTCACATCTTGGTATCCATGACTCTCCTTTCCAGCTTGTAAAGTAGAAGTTCCTGGCTCATCTTCCTCCATTTCACTCTCTGCTTCTCTGCACTCCAAATGCTCCATAGGCGCTTGGAATCAGTTGAACCACCTCACTGTCAAGTAGTATGGTTGCCACTTCACCTGGTCGTGGTTCTTCACCTTCATCACTTGGACCGGGGTCCCCATGCACCCGGAGAGCGTTGGTGTTCTTGCATCAGGTATTGTCTTGCTTCCTGCTTCAACTTCTGCCTGTCATAGTTGCGGTTTGACAACTGTAGAGATTCCCAACGTCGCCACCCACCATGATCGAAATCATCACGTACAATTCGAAGTCCTTGATTTGCTCCACGTTTGCTATCCAGCATCATGCCATCCACATCCTGGTTCTCCTGAACCTCTTTCATCTCATACTTCAACGTTCACTTCATGGGTCAACTTGTCAGTCTCTCTCCACAACGAAGTAGGCTCAGCACAATCACCAGCATCACCAGGAAGACGATGATTCCTCAGGTTGTCCAGGCGTTCCATGTCTGGATTCCTGATTGCTGCGCCTAGCTGTGAATCACTGCACTGATCTTCAATCTCCATCATACCACCAGCCACAAACTCACGGCTCTCTAGCAGGAGAATGAGATTCAACATCTTTGTCCATCTATTGATCTGGTGTTCAATGTTCTCTCACGCTCGTCCTCTCCAAACCTCTGTAGACGTTGCACCAGTTCAAAACCAGTTACGCCTTCGATCTCGAAAGTGGTTTTGCTCCAAGACCCGCAACGAACTGTAGAATGTACCAATGGCCTTCACTCTGATCTCCTCCTGAGCTACAAGATCCTGAATCCACAGCAGCTTCCTACACAGATACTCCGAAGGATACCTGGTCCTTGACGGTGACATAGATGTAACGCAGCTGAGTTGTCAACAAGACAATGGCGGTCCACATGTTCGCCCACCAAAAAGCACAATGCGTCTCTTCAAGTAGACGCTGCCGGGCGCACTTGCCACAACGACGTTGAGCTCTGCCTCTGCCGAACTCAGACTCGCCGATTTCTGCCCCTCTGGAGCTAGTGAAGATCACTGCCCCGTTCAACATGTGGATGGCTGCCGAAGTTGATCTCCTGTGACTTTTGGAACCACTCCACTCGCTATTAGAATAGACCTCAGCCAGCCACCCTGAGACGTCCGTTCTTGTTGTCAATCGCCTGGCTCCCCAACTTCAAGCTGACTGCACTGCCCCATTGTAGTCTTCAGGTGTCCAACCAACTTTCCTAACTTCTTCAAACTTGCATTGGTCGGACAAGCCATCTTTGAAGCAATCCGTCACTCTTGAGGACACGTCTCGACGCTCTTTCTGACACGCTGTTCTGAAACTTCGAATTGCGATCTCAGCTTTGGTAAAAATCCTTTTGTCACCAACGTACATCACATATCAACACTGACATCACGGATGCTGAGTTCAACCCCTTCTGCCTCCAGCCATGAAATGAATTTGTTCATCAAACCACGCCTTTGCACCAATCCGCTGCGCAGGTAGATTCTTGAGAACTGCAAAGTGTCCTGAACCAGCGCTCACCTGTGTTGGAACTTCTTGATTCACCTGCAGGAACACATATTTGATGTTCTGCATTCTCATCATCGTTTTCAATCCACCGGCATTCCTCGAAGTGACCAGCAGCTTGAGCACTTGAATTGCTGTTGGCTCGTTGTCGCTGCAGTAGGTGACATCTTCCTCATTGCGCGATGAGGTTGACCTCACAGATAGTTCCTGTGTCTGCAATGAGCCGTAGTGAACCTGTCTTTTCAGGAGATCCAGCTTGCTTCTCTTGTACGGCCTGAACTCCGGCGCTGCTTAGCTCGACGTTTCACACAAGCGCTGCACCAACCTGCATCGGGTAAATGGGTCAATCCACGCTTCCTTTTCTCTTCCTCAGATGGCGCCTTGGTCAAAAACTCTTGAGGACTTTGGGCGGCTAGGGCTTGATGCGCAAAATCCCTTGTAGAAGTTCAAAAGGGCCCTGATGCTCAACCAATCAGCTGAAGCACTTGGCTTCTCCCCAGCTCTGTCCAACCTTGTAGAAAGCACAGGCAGCACGAAGACTTCTCAAGGGGCTTTGCTCAGGAGGTTCAAAAAGGGTCCAGACCAGAAGGGTCCATGTCATTGATAGGTTTGCCATTTCTATGTTTTCATAATTTTATTTAATCTATTATGACTTTTTGCAAAGTCTTAAAAATAATGGTTGAACTGTATTCCACCAAGGAAGTTTAAGAAAAACAAATTTTGTTTCAGCATACTTCTCTTTACGTTAAGGTGTCAAGCTGAACCATAGTTTTGAAATCAAAATCATTTTCACAAATGAATCTGTTTCAAAACCGTTTTGTCACAGGAATTACAATTAGTATGTGGTTGGTTCCCCATCAGCAAGTCATCAAGTCATCACAAACAAGCACCCTAAATATTTCAATGTTCCAAAGGAACTGAGTGAAGACATATTTCTGTGAATGTTGGGGTATCAAGTTGAACCACAGTTTTGAGAGCAGAATCAATAAAGCTAAGCTGTCTAAAATTACAATTAGTTCGCGCCTGGTTCCTTATTAGCGCAACAACTTGGAATCAAATGCAATCAAACACTAAACATCTAAGCGTTCTTTCTTCTCCTGGCGCAGGCAGAACATCAAGACTTTACACCTGTTGACTGCAGTTCTCCACTCTTGTGGTGTGTAGAATCTAGTTTAGCATCACCACTGTTTATGTCATTTATGTCATATGACATGTGACATATGCTGATCCCTTTGGAACATATGCATCAAACCAAGTGTTTGCTTCTTTGGTGGTAATAGCAAGAAGGACAACGTTTGAGGTTCCACAAGAATCGGTGTTAAGTGACTGACAAGCTTATGCCCCGCGGGAGCCATCAAAGTTTTTGAGTCCCTTTTATTGGGAACATCCCTTGTCCTCTATATCACCAACTTCTTAAAACCAGTCTTCACACCAAGAACCTTTGAACACATCTGAATACCAAGCTCCTTTGAACCTTCAATGCATTTTGATCACCTGTGTTTATCGTTTTGCTGCATCTTAAAACTGTTGAACTGAAAAGATCCGCTCTTCGCCCCGAGGTTCTTTGTACTACATGTTTTTACCATCTCTGCATTACAGTCCTCTTCGTGCCACATTGAATCTGTCTCCACGCCAAGTTTGTCCCTTCAAGTCCATATAGCCCCACCGTTTTGCAAAGTGTTCTGTGTGATTACTGGCTGGTGGAAGGGCCAAGTGGGCTTCTGCTAAACGCAATGAGTTCAATTGATAATAACACACGCCAACCTTATCTTTACAGGGGTGGGGATTATAGGAACAACTATGTGGAACAACTAACTGAAATCTAAGACGGTATCATGGACAGAATGAAAACTAGCCCAGAAAGAAACATCACATGAAAAAGACATTGGTTTCCAAAATGCAGCTCTGTATTCAATCTGTAACGAGCAGTATCTAGAAGGGAGTGATAAAGGCAATCACTACTGCCACTTCACAGGTCAATACAGGGGCGCGGCCTAAAGTCTCAAAACATTGCTTCAAATGCTCCTGTTTCGCTTACTATCAAACACTAAGACTTGCAGCAGGATACACAAATCTTGGGGCCCAGTGTATAGACTATGTTCACAGATTTCAGCTGGATTTATGTCATCTGTCGTCTGCTGATGTAAAATGACTTGTACGCACATATATATGACGCGGTACTCACGTTTGTTTGCTTGTAAGGCCTGCAGCCCTTTGTGCCTGAAACATAGGTACCAGGGAGTGGCGGCTAACAACTGTGGCGACTCCCCGGTACCTATGTTTTAGTACTAGTAGCTTCTTGTTACTACTAGTAACAAGTGCCACGCTAGTAGTAACAAGTGCCTTACTAGTAGCAACAAAAAGCTATTAGAATTAAAATAGAATTAACTAAATTAACTGCTAGCTTCTTGTTACTATTAGTAAGGCACTTGTTCCTAGTAGCGATGCACTTGTTCCTAGTAGCTTCTTGTTAGGACCAGGGGGGAGGTACTGTAACATCAAGCATTTGCATTTGCCGTGTGACAAAGGCAAAGAACACATACCGTTCAAAACCAAACAGCAGAAACATAAACAAAAAACTTAGGATACAGCACAGCACAAGCAAAGGTTTGGTTTGATTTTGTTTCTCTTGGTGCTTGCTTGCTGGCTACCTGAAATATAGGTAGAACTTGTTGCCTTTTATACGCAGTCTATATTTTCAACAGTTTTCTGGCTCCCTCTACCTGCATTCTTCCTTCCAGATACTTCATGACTAAAGATATCTGGGCAACACTATGGTGGGAGTCCAATGATCCCTGGCCACGCGAATTCACGCATACCAACAAATTAAGACATATTAAAAGGGACAACCTCTTGACAATTCGATCTTTGGGTCAGTGTTTTGGGATTGCGCAAGCTTTTGCAAACTTTTGGTGGGTTGCAACAATGGAGATTATTTTGGATTATTTGAGATTAGTTGAGACTTTTTTTGGCGGGCTCCCTTTAAAGTAGTATTCGACTTGAGATTAGTTGATATTGCTTGAAAATATTTTAGATTATGTGAGATTATTTGAGATTATTTTCCTTGCCAAAAAATATTCCCCTTGACTTTAGTACTGTTATTTCTTATTTTGCTACTCCGTCAATATTCATTTACTTGTTTCCCTTTGTTCATCCTCTTGTGTGTTCTTTAATTTTGAACTGCCTTTACAGCGCAATCTTTTACAGCGAATCCACACCCAAACACACACGTCCCAAGTCCGACCCAAACACACACCCAACAGCGCACCTGCGTACCAATTTCAATCAAATGTGGGGCGATATGGAAAAGAAGATTGAACTAAACTTGGCGTGAAGACAGATTCTATGTTTTCTTTTGTGTGAAGATTGGTTTCCATAATGTTGGCATGAAGAGAACTGTAATGCAGAGATGTTTAAACACATGTAGTACAAAGAACCTCGGGGCGAAGAGCGGAGCTTTTCAGTTCAACAGTTTTAAGATGCAGCAAAACGATAAACACAGGTGATCAAAATGCATTGAAGGTTCAAAGGAGCTTGGTATTCAGATGCGTTCAAAGGTTCTTGCCGTGAAGATTGAAGCAAGAAGTTGGTGATAAAGAGGAGTGGGATGTAGAGCAGTTCCCAATTTCAAGAAATTCAAAAGCTTGGAAGGAACTTGGGACGCAAAACGGTTTACGATGGATAAGGATTCAAAAAAACTCTCGGGTGAGGAAGGCTTGTGCTTGGCTCAGCGGTTTTTGCAATGCAGAAATGCTCGAAACAAGTCTGGGGTGCGTGGGCTTGAAGGTTCAACTGAATGCGAAAACAAGTTCAATACTTTTTGGTGCGAAGACTGGTTTTGATAATGTTGACATACAGAGGACTGTAATGCAGAGATCTTGACACACATTTGCAGAAAGTACATTTAAAAAAAGTCTAATGAGATTTTGAAGACATTTGCTGAGAAAGGAAAATGTCTGAAACAAGACTTCTGGAATCAGGATTTGACACCATGCATTTGATATACAAGAGACGATTTGCCAATTGAGAAGAACAACTGCGCAAAGGATGTTTGAATAGAACAAGGCTTACAAACTGATATATATATATATCAATGGTTTACGGTCCTTACGCACTGCGCTATATAGAAGAAACATGTTAGTTTAGTAAAGTCCTGATCCTTGTTGTATGTTGTGGTGACCTGTGTGGGTAAAAATGGGTCATTGAATCTCTTTGTGTAATTTGGCTAACTGTGTTTCCGTGTTCCTTGTGGCGCGTGTGTGTGTCTTGGTTTTCCATGGTGTGTGTTATTACTGATTGGGTCGACATTTGTGTTCCTCTGCATCTCATGGAGGAGCCTGCTGTGGGTGGACGGGGTTACTTAAAAGTTCTTTCCATTCTGGCGCGTTTCGGTGCTTCTTGTGGTTGTCAATGTTTCTACTTGGGGTTCCACAATGTTCTACGCAATGACTGTTGTGTGTTATTGTTTTACTTCAGCTTCTCGGTCTGTGTTGCGCCGTGCATCCCTAAATCTATTCTTCATTATATGAAGACCTTTCAACCAATGTCTTCAAATATAACAAAAAAATCAAAATACCAGCAGGTTCAATATCAGGCGCAAACAGCCAGACACTGATCAAATAGGTATCTACAATTATGTTGCATATGGTTGCTTTAACAAATATTTGGAGACAATGCAAACCAGAAAGCGGTTCAGAAACAATGATTCAAAAGTAGTATTGAACCAAAGTTGGTTGATAAGTTATCATTTGTCAAGTATGTCTATGCGTGTTTTGGTGTCAAGGTGAACCACAGTTTCAGATCAGAATCAGTTGCACAAAGTTAAGCGCAAGAATTACCATTAGTTTATGTTCGGTTCCCCATGTCGCGCAACGTGTATCTTGCAAGTTTGCTTTGCGCTTTTGGTTTGGGGCTCCGTTTTTGGTGCACTGCCTACCAAACCTTTTCAAGTTTGCTTTTGGTTTGATGCACCCAGAAACCAACCAAAAGCACAAATTAGACAAAATAATATCACATACTATTTAAACAAACTAACAAGAATAAATGATATATGTGTAGTAATCTAGGTTACCCAACAGACTCACTGATCTGGCCCCCCTTCCTGATCTGGACCCTGTTTCGAACCTGCTGATTTGCAATGCAAGCGTAACCCCACTCACATTTCGATCGCTTCCGGGATTGCAGCTCCAACTTCAAGCCGAACTTTTTGGTCTCTAAGCCCTAGCCTTCGTATCGGGGCTCCACCGGTCTCGGAACGTCCACATCCGTCTGCTCCTCATCATCAGCCATTGGAATCGTCAAGTTCCTCACGCTCTTCTTGTCCTCTTTGGCGCGCTTCCCATTGGACTTTCCCTGCTTTGCAGAGTAGATTTTGTGGTGTGTGGGAGCCTGCTCGGTGTCCTTTTAGAGGGTCGATGGGCCTGTCCTCATGTTTGCAAGGACTCTAAAGGCTTTTCCCAGAGTGAAAACCAAACCAACTCGGCTCTCTTCTCTTCCACCCAATGGGCCTCTTGCAACATCCTTCAACTCGTCTCCAAGATGCGCTCGAAGCGTCCTCACAAATTCAATCAAAGCCATAGTCCTGGCATGCCCACGGATCACAAGACTGTGATTCTTGAACTTCTATACGGAACCGTCACACTTCCGTAGGCGATCGCCCAACCAGCCTTGAGTAAGTGACCTTGCTGCCACCACGGAGTTGAGCTTCTGCGCAAGGCAGAAGCATCCATCTCAGCCCGCCTGGTGAACTTGCAGGCTGCGCCAATGGAACAAGCAGATTGCAGGCGCGAAGGAGAACAACGGCCTCCTCATGAATGAATGCTGCCACAGTATACAACGTGGTTCCACCGCCACTCACACGTTGACCATTTTGGCCTCGACCGCCCTTTTCTTGGCAGGGTGGGATTCGCCCCAGCCTGAGCCATGAGCGGCAAAGAGCGTGACTTCGCACGCCTTCGCCTGCTGTTCGTAGGATCGTTCGCTCTCTGACTTTGCTTGCGACAGCAATCAGTGAAGCTACAGAAGGAGAAAACACATAATGAGACACTGTTCTGCAGTATAGAAGGCAAGCGCACCAAACTGCGTTAACGCGTCAAGGCCAGGCTAAAAAAGCTCGGACGAAAGACCACCATCCAGCTCAGGATAGCTCAGGCCGAACCTCCTTCAAACTAATCCCAAGGGAAAAATGAGTAGGGGCACGGGAAAACTATGCTTTCCCTTGCATAAAAGCAGAGCAACGTTTTCAATGAATCCAGCTTTCAAAGTTGAGACTCGCGCTCAAAGCGACTAATGGCACAAGCACGGAAGCTCACAGACTCCAATACCTGGAGGATACTGAGCTGACACACCGTCACAGTCATGTGCTCCAGTTCTGCTTCTTTGCTTGTTCTCTTTGTCTTCGCCAAAACCTTCATCCTCCCCCCTCCCAAAATGCAACGTCTCTTGTCTACAGCTCATCAATTTGGGCACGCAGCTGGGCTCCAGCAACCCTGCCAAGCTGAGGCCCAGCGGGTCATCCTCCTCAAGAAATCACATCTGAAGGTGTCTGCAATTCGTTTTTCTATGAGCTATACCAGCATAGACCCTAAACGGTTTCAGCTTCTATTTGCGTCAATTGCTATTTGCGTCAGTGAGCGGGCGTAAACGTTTGCAAATGGTTCCTATATATATGTATATATATAGCCCCAGCCGTTTGAGAACAGGGCGCAAGCGGAAAACAACTTTTGGCGAACCGGCTGAAGACAAGATTGAAACGCTGCATCCCCGCTGCAGTCAGATTGACCCAGATTTGCAATTCAACAGCAGGTAGCAACTCAAATGACTGGAACTCTTCAAAACTACAACGATGTGTCGCCAAAGTTCCCAAACGTAACCCAGATCCTTTTTTCATGTGTAAAGCAAGCTGGGGAGGGAGCTGGAGTTGGTGAGCAAAACTAGGAGCAGGAACAGTGGTCCAGGAGTTGGGAGCAGGGAGGGGGAAAGGGCATCAGAACTACAAAAACGTTTGACGGAAACAGAGCCCAGAAACGCCGTGCTAGGTGCACACAAGTCGTAGAAAGACTGCACGGTAGCGGCGACGCAGGGCACACTACAAGTGAAGTTATTGCTTGCAAAAGCCTCCTGCTAAGTACACCTCTTTACCATGGTGTAGACACAAGAACTATCCTTGTTCGTATCTGGCCACGGCCACAGCCACCAGCCACCCGCCACAGCTGCTTTGATTTGCTTTGTGCGTTCAGCCATTGCTTTGTAGAACGACGGGCAGCGGTGCTTTGGGCTGCCCAAACGGCGACTTCAGACTACGTGAAGAACAAGTGCCTTACTAGAAGCTATTAGAAACAAGTGCCTTACTAGTAGTAACAATGTTTGCTATTAGAAACAAGTGCCACGCTAGTGAAGAACGAGCACATATCGTTCGCCGAAGTCGGACCGTCGCAGATTTGGGTGCAAAAGCACGGGTCAAAAGCACATGTCAGACTTGACGGCAGGAAACTGTCGAAACACATGCCAACAAAGACATCAGAACGCAGTCCACAACATGTCCCAGTCTTTCAGATAGATGATGTGTCAGAACTTAACCCATACCAGACTTTCGCCAGAACAATTGTCAGAACATTGCACCAGTGCACGCGTCATCTCTCGATACATGTATGCGCCCTGCCTTCTTACAGTGAAGTAAAGTGATCTATTTCACATGGTTTTTCCGAATCACTTTTCGCTTGGAGACACGCCGCCTTGGGGCTCATGTCCGGCAAGCTCTGCAATGCATCCTTCAGCACCTCCAGGCTCACCTGTCCTGTGAGGCAAAACAGGCAAAAACGGAAAGGTGAGCACCTCTGCTCTCATTCTGCCCATTCGCTTGGACTGTTCGCATTGCCATTTGCTCGATCTTGGCACTTCCTCCGTCAGCATCATAGTCAGGGCCATCCAGCACTTCAAAGACTTCCAATACCTTCAAAGGGAGATTAAAGAGCAAAGAGCTCCAATGAGTCTTCAAAGATATAAAAAGGACTCATAGGCTTTATCTTTAAATGTTCCTCCCTTCTATCGTTCCCACTTCTACCCGTTTCTTTCAAGTCTTCAAGCACGCAAAAATGAGTTCGAGGCAATCAGCAGTTGTTTGCCAGAAAATGGTGCATCATTTACCGGTTTGGAGCGGGCAATTAAAGTACAAAACACAATTCCAAAAAGACATGTTGTCCTAGAGAGTTTTGAGCACAGGGGACGCACGCACGACAGACCAAGCATGAACCACTGAAAGTGATGCAGAGGCAGTGCATATCACAAAATCCATACAACCAATAACAACCACAGGTCCAGCTGTATCCCCGGAAGATTGTGAAATCTACTTAATCAGCTGCTTCCTTGCTGCTTGGAACCCCCTGGCAGTCTCTTATATGTTTCTTCAATGTCTCTATCTCTGGAATGTTTCTCCTCGGTCTACGCACCTGTTTTCTATCCCTCTTCTTCAATAGAATTGCAAGCAAAGCTAAGCTAACGATTCTCTCGCCTGCTGTCCACTGACACTCAGCTTCCTGAGGTTGCTCGGATTGAAGGAGCAAAGCGTTGGTGAAAAGAACTGAAACGAAAAGTACTAGCTTGGCACTTGTTACTACTAGCGTGGCACTTGTTACTACTAGCGTGGCA